ACCCGTAATGTACTTACATTGAATTGGTCTGCTAATGTTAACATAAAGAATGCTGTACATACCCGTAATGTGCTTGCATTGAATTGGTCTGCTAATGTTAACATAAAGAATGCTGTATCTTCCATCTAAATGTCTTTTTAATGTACTCTCACAAAGTTGCTTCAATGTATCAACCTGAAATTACAACATCAACTAATTAAATATAATGGTTGGTTAATAGAATTCATCAAATTGTCATGTTTTTTAAATGAATATGTAAATGGGCAACTCATGAATTTGACAATATTTGCTGAATAAAGGTCTTATTTAAAATCAATATAGATTTAGTTTCTCTTGAATTCTGACAAATTGACGAACAAGACACAAGTGATAGTCATTTTCGGTGACATTCTTACTACAAAGATGAACAATTTAATGGGTCTGCTATGGGAATGCTATTGGGTCTTACTGTTTCAATTTTTAGTATAATGTTTAGATAGGCTTAACTAGCAGTGTAGTATACAGTGCAACTCTAAAACATACATTATTTACACAACAAAGATAATGTTTTGATGAAGACTGAACGTCATAATTTGTATTGGTTTAGAATACACGTTGATTTCCTCCTGTTGGTGTTGAAAATCAATGTTTCTTTCCATCACACCACATCTTAACATGTGAATTTGATAAGCATTTAGTAAAAATATAGGACTACAAATCAAAGCATAGGAAACAAGACAAGCATAGGAAATAGATGGACGTTCTCATCACTAGGACTGTGCTATAGTCTTGCTTCAACCCCATGAAAACAGAACACATTTGAGACTTTAGAAACTGAAACTTATGACACTGATAAATGCAAGGATCAGGATCCATTTACATTATCAACGAGAACATATGTGAACATTCATCTATAAAAATGTCTGGAAATAATAGATGAATTTTGAGTTATAGCATCATCAGTCGGTTGATTTAAAGCTCGCACAATTCATTCACTGGTTTTCCTGGTTCCCGGTGTTCTGACGAGCTATCAAACATTTATGTGGCAAAAGTAAATCCCTTTACGCAGATGAAATTGGAACGCTTTTACACCAGAGCGTGCAAGTTTCTAAACTAGCGACTGAACTCAAAACTATTGATAGAAATACACATAAGGTAAATGAGTCGTCACTTACCTCGTACCTATCACTCAGTGACATCATATCAGCAACCTGCTCTACAGATAGACCTGATGTGTCTAAATATCCACTGTATAAGAACTGCAGAAATAATCTGAACAGTTCAGGATTGGCATCGTGTACTGTGATTTTTCTGTTGAATATACAGAATAACTTTATATATTATAAGTGTTACAGTACTGCATGTATCATTACTAACAATAAGTCCAATATCAGCCCATGTAACAACAGATTAGAGTGCAAGTTTACTATCACCATATAGTTTCTAACCGTACGTTATTTTCAATGATGTTATTTCACTTCGCTCACAGTTAATACACCACATATTTGGCTGGTTCTTGCAAGTCAAAGTTGCCATCAGGCGCAAAAAACGTAAGAAGCATTCAAACAATTTTGGTTTATTTGCTGATAAAGAATAATTATATTAGTGATATTTTAGTCATACTGTGGAATACTTTATTTTCGCTGGATTTAATTTTCGTTGAAAAGGCTTTTTGGGCGTTATGTATGGAATTTATTTTCACTGATTTTTGATGAGTTTAATGTGAAATATAGGAAAAAAAGTATATTCGCTGGATTTTATTTTCACGGAATCATTCCTTCAGCGAAAATAGCAAAAATTAATTCCAAGCGAAAATAAAGTATTCTACAGTATATCAATACGAGACAAGTTCACTTGAAACAACAAAACTCAACTCAATTTTTCAAGTATCATGTTAATTAATATAAAATATGTGTGAGGCAAAAACTGACGCATGCGAACGGCACCAACATGATCACATTCGAAGCAAGAGCACTTACTTATCTATAGATTCTCGCATACCACTATTTAACGCTCGTCTGAACCAATCACACCTGGCAGCTATAATCACACGATGTGCTTTAATTTCGTAGACCTCCATATCTATATCCAGTTCACACGAGTTTAGATGAGGCGTGGTCGCTGCCAGCGATGGAGGCATTGGTGGCGCTGCGTTACCATGAGTATGATCTATCACAATATCAGGTTCTTCAGCTGATGGAATAAAATGAAATAAAATATACGAATAGAAATTAAATTATATCACGTGGCTGTCTATTTGATACTCAGAAGCAAAAAATATTTTTTTTTTTAATTATTAGTTGTAAATAAATTGTGACTATTTTTTAACTCAATGCAACTGGCTATGGGGAAATCACAAAGTCATTGTTTCCATGGAAGCAGGTTTGGGTACCCAAAATTTGTATTGGCTCTCTGACAACTATTTGATATAATTAGGAATTTGTAGTGCTTTTCAATTGTTAGCATTTTATACAGCTAACTTTGTTTTCAACCCTGTCAGAGCCCTCACAGTCTTCTGTGGGAGAGGCCTTTCTGGTAAACTCAGAAAGAGGCTTGTAGTTGAAGCCATGGATGCACTTGCATAAGAAATGGCTCTTTCAACGTTAACAAACACTTTAAATTTCTTGATTCTTTTTAATTTAACCCATAATTGTATTTAATTATGAGTTTATTGAAGTAATTATTCATGGTGAATTAATGATAACTCAGAAATTTTGAAAATTAGCCAAAATTTCAAGTCTTAGAGTTTCTTAACATTGGAAGAGCGGTTTTCTATGCCTGTGTATAATTAAAACATGGCTTCACCATAAAGGTCTCTCTTGCAGAAAACTATGAGGGTTCCTGATTTATGAAAAAGGTCAGTAAGTTGTCACGTCACATCATGTTAGATATGGGTCTCATGAGACATACTGTAAAACATGTCTTTTTTGCGAGCATGTCTTTTTCGCAAAAGTTTAGCGAGAGAACTGATTCGCTAATTCAAGATGTCGCTAATGACTTTATTATCAATTCAAAATGGCCGCCAAACAAAGAAATCAACAAATGACAAGAGAGATTCGCTAAATGAACATTTCGCTATTACGTCATTTTACTACAATTCGCTAAAATTGCATGCCGCTTTTTTAACATGTTTTACAGCATACAAGGCATGTAATATACAAGTGAACTTTTTGTTTACATGGAATTTGAATGTACACTGTACATGTGGCAACAGCAGTGCTTTATGCAGACAAGTAGTAGGTATTTTCCATATATCATACACTTACGTAGATTTTGGTGTATGATTTCAAATCTCATATCGGCTAAGTGTCCAGATTTCAGTAACTCTGTCGCGGATTTCGCAAGTTTACTTTTACCTGGTACTGGCGGTATACTCAAAGACTCCACTGCATTAGTCTGGAAAACAAAAACAAATATCTATGAAATATGAGTAGTCTTAAAGCGAGAGAGTCGTCATCTACTCATGTTCACAAACAAGCATCTACCCATGAGCCTTTGCGTACATTGTTATTGTCGTTTGAGACTGAAGTCCAGTGTTGGCGCACATGACGATCCTTCCACTTTAATTACTGATCACGAAATATATGATGCGTTTTTCCGATCATTCATGATCAATAACATTTTACAGGCATTTGACCAGACTTTTGTAAACACAAATAGTAGCCGAAACTTTGTTGAGAGTGAATTTTTGATTGCCCCCTGAATAGTAGACCAAATAGTTGTGTTTTTATATCGGTCTATGAGGCAGGACTTCTTGCTTTATGTTCACTCATGCATAATAATACTAATATTCATCATAAACAGTTCAGACTTGTTCTTCACCACTGTGAAAACTTTTGTCACAAAAAATAAACACTCATAATTTCAAAGTTTTTGATCAGTTTAATTGATTTTGAAAACCTGTCACCCATGAGGAACTGTATTCGTTTGATTCACAATTATAGACAAATGCATGAAAATAAGACCTTGGCAGTAAGTATTATGCTGTTCAAATGATTTTAAAAATGACATAAACTGAGCACTGCAGAAAAGAATATATATCTTTGAACTTTAATACCTGATATGTTGGTTTGCTGGTTTTACTCGTAGCACCAGTACTAACACTGGGACTACTTGACTCTGTAGACTGCTGCTGAGTTCCATCTTTGGTTGACAAGGTCTTCTTATTGACTGATGCATCTAGAATACCTAGTTGTACTATTGCTGTTGTAAATGTTTCCCTGTGTACTAGATCACATACTGGTGCCAACACTGACTGTAATGTTCCCTTATGCTGCGTCATTTTGTTTAACACCCAGGCCTATAAAAGTAGATACAATACTGTCAGAGGTTACGATGCGATACCCAAACTGGATACCCAGAGTTTAACATTGCTGAGAGATGTTTGAATATTTTGTCTGATATTTTTGTAAAAAACAATGAATGATATGAAGATGATACACTAATACCAGTAGTAGTTGACCTGTGACAACCCACGCTATTTAGCCAATAATCGAGAGATTGACCACTCAGCACAATACACATGCAATGTACGCAATGTTTCCCACATTTTAAAAAAAACTGACCAATGGCAGAAGAGAGCTTGTCACAAACAACAAATAGTAAACCACCTTACTATAAACCATATGCCCTGTCAGGGGGGGAGTTGCATGACACGATTGATTGAAATACTTGTCTCATTTGCATAAATTAATATTCATGAGCAATGAAAAACTCGTCTTTTCAGTAAAATTGTGCCAAAATGCTTTCCGATAGCATACTTGTTACCGGTAGTTCTAAATTGATTGATTCTATTGTTACGAGCTGAAAAAATAATCGGAAAAATGATGTAAAGGTAATTTTTGAGACACGTTTTCAATCAGACTCCAGCTAACTATTGAAAGTAAACACAGGTTTTCTCTTTACCATGATCATAGCAAGTTATGAAATTCATGGAGAATGCAGAGGCATGTTTATATTTCACTCTAGTACTATTGCTCAAAATTGCTCAAAATGTATTCGATGACTTTTTATCAGTGACAAGTTACCTAATTAGTATGCATTTCGAGAAACCACAGTGTGTGTGCATGCGCAGTTTGAAATGGAACAGTTTTGAATGCAATAAAATCACGCGTAGAACTCGGGCTCCAGCAAGAAATTGTGGCGTCAACCAGTTTGCAATAGACATAATTTTGGAGCCTATTTTTGTCTATGAAATGTTTCTAAGTTTTGTTGAGGATTATTTTGTAAAGAAATTGCTTAAATTATTTCATCTGTTCGTAAACGGGACGTTGTTGCTTTGACGATGGGCTACGGACGACTGACGTCGAAACGTTCCATTCAGATCGGATGGCACCCTCTCGTGCCAATCCCCCCTGTGCCCTGTATTATCATACACATGCTGACTGTGGTACCTAGCACTACAACACTTACCACCCTGGACGACCCAAATTTAAACAGATACTTCCACTCTTTCCAAGTCAATTTTTCCTCAATTGTAGAAGCCAGTAGGTCTATTCTTTTCAAATATTGTGGAAACTGGAATAAATATAATTATAATAAACATGAATAATATACAAACCATCGTTACAGTACCACACCTACAAATGATATATTGCTTTAATATTATTGTATGTATTATTATAAGATTACAGCATCATATTTTTAACATGTGAGCATTGGAATAAACATCTAATCATTCCTGCTGATTTTGGCATATCAAATAAAAGATCTCTAAATTTTGTTCCGGAATTGCAGTGAAAATATAATATCAGACATGGCCTGGAAGGATAATTTCAATGGAGAGGTGTTACTTCAATCAATGTACTGGTACTATGTACAATAATACTCTTTAATATCATTTCAATCTGACTTTAAAATACTAAACATTAAAATAGTAAGATCTCTCTACGTAAGTGCATATGACACTAATAGAGCAAATACAGTATTAAAATTATCATATTAAGGTAGCGAGAAGGGAAATTTTCACTTCTTTCTTGATTTTTCAAAAATTGATTAAACGTTCACTTTAGACCTTGATACATCATCCCAGGTTTACAAAAGATCGAAATTGCGAAATAACGTCGCTCAAATCAGTGTTTTAAAACGCTAGCAGAAAAGACTACAACTGCCATTTCGTGGATATTTGCACATTGTTTATCTTTGAAAGGGTTTAAATGATAACATCTTATCTGTATACACTGTTGTTGACGATTCTGATATAACGGGTGATAAGCTTCCCGTCGCAAACAATGCGTGTTCATCTAACGTCCATTGTCAGCATTATTGTCAGTCGAGACTTCGTCGGAGAAACATGGTCATACAGTACCCATTTTGCCCAACTTTCCGCTTTTACATCGACTGCTTAACGCTTAATTTCCGACCATGCGGTCTTGTCCGACCGGAAACCGACCGCATTTTAATCGCGTTTTTTTTTGGGGGGGGGGTTGGCTCGCTCATTGAGAACACTGACCGCTCGTCCAAACACTGATCACTGGCGCAGAAGTGGTCGAAATGGTGGTTTTGATAGTAAAGTGTGAACATACAACTAACTAGTATTAACTATTATTAAGATCTGAACGGCACTTTAAATCTAAAATTATCAACGAAAGATGAGGTTTTATTTTAGGCTTAGAAATATTTTCTTTCCGTCAGCCCATGCATGGAACTGCCATTTAGCTTCATGGTCCTTCAGCTTGTCTTCGCCTCGGAACACATCGCGAAGACTCAATAATCAGGAAAGAAAACCCAGACAACCATGTCGTACTTGTGTTGAAATAAATTTTGTATTTCACGTCAGAATATTGTTTTCAATAAAATATTCAGTCCAAGCCAAATCGAGGCCAAAGGGTCAGGTTGCGTGCATATAATTATAGATAGTTAAAACAAAAAGTATTTGAACTTTTGTCAGCTGTTCAACATCTATAAAAACCATAAAGACAATTATAAGACAATGTGAACCTCGGAAATTTTTCTGTTAGTCCGAATTTTAAATGCGTGCGAGCGAGCGGTGATATTTCGGAGTTTGCGCGGTCGACAATAAAGCGGAAATTGTCCGGTCAAATTCAACAAGCGGTCAAAAAAGCGAGAAAAAAGGTGATTGGAAAGCGGGAGCAGGCGAGAGGTAGTGTGAAACGAGTACCGTAAAATCTCTATTAAAAGCCGCATCCCTAATAGAAGCCGCACCCATTATTTTTGAACAATTGAAACCCAAAAATTTACCATTTCTCATATGTGTAGATGCTCTAATAGAAGCCGCATCCCCTCTGTTGCATTGTACCATTTTAATAGAAGCTGCAGCTTTTAATACAGATTTTACAGTACTGTAAATTTGCGCAACTTTCTTTTAAATCGTTTTATTTTCCAAGTCAATATTTTATTTCTATATTTCTAAGAAAGCGTTGACAGATGAGGCAAAGAAAAATCTGCCACTCAGTGTCGCACTCTGACACAGCAATTTTTTTTTTCAAACATCGGCCATTTTGTTTCACCATGAAAACCGTTTTATTAGATCACTTATCAGAGACACTTGAAGGATTAGCTTGTTTGTAAACTGTCAGCGTGTACAGTGGGACAGTAATGTTTGTCAGAGGATTATCCCTCGTTGTTCGTTTGCATAACAATAACATAACATAACGAATGTTCCTGGAGTGGGGACTCAAATGCCAGCAGTTTTCTTCATTTTTCACACTCGAGCTTGAAATTATTCATTATCTGACACTCTTTATGAGCTCTATGATATCAGTGGTTAATATGTTTGGCCATTTTTAGTGTATATTTATAATAATGCAGCAAATCTACAGTGTTTTATTAACCAAGACTGTTTTTCGCGTTTTTCTCGAATTGAAGTTTCGATTGAGTATGACTCATTGGGACCGCCGCCAAATCAAGTGCGTTCGGACTAGGACATTTAAACTCGCAGTTATCGTTCAAAAGATAATGATGGTGCGAAATATGTCTGGGTTTTTAAAGAAAATGCTTTGTCACAGAAAAATAGTCTGTTAAAGGTGCCAAGTATGAAGTAATTTGGGGACAAAAAAACAAACCTGCATAGAAATCGGAATAATAGGTCTTTTGATGCATTTCAATGGACTTGATTACGGACAATGCATGACGTAAATTTCACCAGGAAATTCCGCAGTGTGCTCTCGCAATCGAGGACTTAGTCATTTTTACAAGATTCGCCATTTTTGATGTCACGTGATAATTATGTAAACAATGACCGTCCAGTTTGTGCGAACTTGTACCTCTATACTTAGTCTTTTGAAATATATAAGCTAAATTACTCTTCTGAACAAGACAACAGACAGAGAATGATTTATTCGAAAATGTCACAAAACTATTATTTGCATACTTGTTTTCATCTTCTAATTGGGACCAAACGACTACAAATAGACCCAGGAAAGTATATATTTTTGGAATCGCCAGACTTCAAGCTTTTCAAAAGTGTGTTTGTCATGCCCGTATCTGCATTCTACGGTGCGTTACTTAATCAAAAGTGAAAAATTACGCATTTATGCTGGTGATAATAAGTTTTGTTTTCAATTTTCCTAGTTGTTCAATAGTTTGGTGAATTGAATGTGTCTGGTCAGTTTTATTCAAGTAACGCGTTTTGAAAAATAGTGTCCTGAATTTTAATTTCTGTTTTAGTCGCATTGCCCCCAACTCAAACCACAACACATTGGTAAATAATCCATGAAATAGTTTGTCTGGACACATTCAAGTTCCTCTCATTGTCACCTTAAAGCTGTGAAAATTTGGTGTTAATCCGACGACAATATGTATACGTTATTTTTTGTTAAAGACCTTGTATTTTGAAAAACATAAACTCCT